AGGCTCCCGCGTGTGCGGACTTTTTTTGTTTCACTGGTTTGCGGACTGAAGCTGGGGCAGCTCCCTCTTCCTTCCCACTGGGCCCCGGGGCAGCTCATCCCGCCAGGGGCTGGTCTGGCTCCAGCGTCCGCGGGACAGCGCCCCGCAGCCCTCTTCCGCCTCCTGCCCGTCTGCTTGTTGGCCTGCATTCAGGGGTTCAGGGCTCCTGCCAGCGGGCGGGGCAGGAGAGGGTCTGAGGTTCAAAGGGACACGCCTGAGAAGACTTTGGCCACTCAAAGCGTCCCAGGGAATTAACCCATCAGGTCTCAGGGACGGCCGAGCGCGGCAGGTAGAACAGGGAAGCCTTCGGCTGGCGGATGGAGTGGTCTGGAATCTGGGCGTCCCTAGCTCTCAGGCGTGAACTGGTGGCCCCTTAAATCTCACAAGTAATTCCCAAGGACAAAGGGAACTGGGTGAGGCCCTAGAGGAAGGAGGCTCTAAATGAATGAGGGTCTCAAGGTTTTAGACTCACAGAGCCATCCTGCCTCCCATACCTCCCGAGTAAGAACAAGATAACACGATGACGCAATGGACTTTGGTGTCAGATGGACAGAGGTCTGAACCCCCAGCGCTACAATGTACTTAATTGTCTGGGGTTAGTTATTTAACTTCTCTAAACCTCATCCTTAACGTAGGGATTATGGTATGTCAACCCCATGGGATCGTAAGGATTAGGAACGTATATAGAGGGTTTAGTATCATCTGTCCCACGAGTGGGGTAAATTACTCTTGGCCGCGCTTGTGATTCCCGATTTACACACTGGCACCCTCCCCCAGTGCTAATTAAAAACGGCTGCAGCAGGCTGGTGGGGAAGCTGCGAAGGGTTCTGCGCCTTCCTGGGTGAGGACGGTTCTTGAGGGGCTCTGCTTCCAGGGGGACGCCCACTCGTGGGGGCGAGGACCCCGGGGAGGGAGGGGGGAACTCACCAGACCTGGGAGATTTCCCAAAGACCGGGCCCTGCTCCTGCTCCCGGCTGGTGACTTCGGTACAGGGAAGAACCCCTCCTCAGGGAGCCCCTCTAAGAACCCAGTCTAGCACCTCAGTGGGGACGCCTCTCTTGGTCCTTTTAAGGGCACTGCTCGTGGTCCAGAAGTTTGCATAGGAGACAGGGGGCCCTCCAGTCCAGTCCAGACCAGCCGCCTCTTCAACTGCCCCAGCCCTTCCCTTCCCCGCCCTACTTCAAACACCCTAGACCTTGCTGTGCCCAGACCTGTTTAACCCCTTGGGTGCCATCGTGGGTCTGGGGGTCCTCAGCACTTCCGGAACAAAGCACGGCCGCTGGACTGGGGCTCGGGTGGAAACGGGTACAAGGGGCCGAGTTGGGGTCCCCCTGAAGGGGCACTATGTGGGAGCCCCAGGTCCCGGGAACCTTCACCCTCTCTCAGGTGGGGCAGGGTGTGAGAGGGTGTGAGCTGAGGAGGGGAGAAGGAGGGCATCCCAGGGAAGTCGGCTGGAAACCTACTTGACAGTGGGGGCCTCCTGGGGTCAGGGAGGTCCTTTGCCCTCTCTGGAATTTGGCTTCCAAACTGCTGCTGCCGCTGCCGGTGCCTTTAAGAGGCAGGTTACAGCGGGGGGAGGGGCGATTACTAGGGCCCGAGGGCGGGCTTCCCGGGCTACCCGCTGGGCTCCACTCCCCTTCCCCATCCCGGCTTCTGCGGGCTGACTTCCCCAGGGCAGGGGACACTCCGGCCCTACTCCTCTGGGCCCTGTGGCCTGGTGGAAAAGTCTCACCATCGGAGCCTCAGAGCCACCTGTCGGCCTGGAGTCCTCATCTGTACGGTGCGAACCTCAGATGCGCTAGAGGCCTCCTGCCGTGGGGCCCCGCACTCCGCGTCCCTCCCTGATCTATGAAATGAGGGGATTACTTAGGGGATCCAGTCAGTGGATCCCTGCTCTAAATTCCTCTAGGTGAGAGGGCGGCCTGTCCTCCGGGCTGGGCCCCAAATCCCGAGAACACAGGGGGGACAGGACACTGCCTCATTTTACCGCGTGGGGTCCTCGGAGGTCCTCTAAGTAAACAATCTCGTGACATCTGGAGGACACAGGCTGTCACACAGTAAGTCCCAGAGGGCACGGGGCTGCCGCCTGGCTCCCAGGGGGCGGGGGCGAGGACTCGACCCATCCTGTCTGGGAACAGCTGTTACTCCCAGCTTCTTGGCCATTCTTACACCTGCTCCCCGCGGACTTTCTTCAGCCGGAGTCCCGAGGCCTAGTGTGTAACGTGGGTGGAAATCTGGGCACCTGGCTCCTCCTGGCACCAGGGCGGGGTGTGCGGGTGGGCCGGGGCCAGCCGGAAGTCTGCAGGACGTGGGCGGACAGAGGGCGGGTCTCAGCGGGGTGGAGAGGATCTGGAACAGGCTGACAGCTGGGTCACTATCTGTGTTGTCTTTTCGGGAGGAGCCCCTCCGGCTGGTACCCAGTCTTCAGGAAAGACGTGCTTCCTCTCCCTCCCCCTTGCAAGTGCCTGCACTGACTGGGTCGGTCAGTCGGGTCGGGGTCACGCCTCCCCGGGGTGGTCTCCATGGGGTGGAGAAGGGCTGTCTGCTACTCATCTCCCCGTACATTTCCTCAAGCTCAGAGGGCTCAAGCCCAAAGCCAGCAGGTCCAGCTAAGTCTCTGCAGGTTTCAGAGGCTCTCGTTTTCTCCAACATTCCACCACTTACAGGAGGCTCACATTCCATCCCGACTCCAGGGAACCCGATCTCTCCAGATGAAGTGTCTGGCTTTGGCCTTCATTCAAGGTGCCTGTGACACTAACTGCCCTCACAATGCTGCTCTTGTCATCTGCGTCAGACCTGGGTCCCCTACCCAGCCTCCTCCACAAGGAGGGCCAAGGGCCCGGGACAGGTCCGCAGGAAGAGGGCCCCAGCCTCTGGGAAGGCAGTACCTGCAGGAGTTGGGAGTCCCCTCCTCTGACCCAGAACCGCTCCCCCTACAGGTGGGCTCCTCACTGCCTTCAGCAGAGACCACAGGACAGAAAGCAGTGCTCCCTCCTCCTAAGACTTAACAGTTTGCAGCCCCAGGGAGCAAGATGATGCCTGGCCACCCAGCCCCACTCCCTTCCTACCCGCGTTCTCACCCCAAGCTTCTCCCCTCTCTCCTGAGCAAGTCCCAGGTCTCTCCCGGGGGGACACAATGAACAAAAGCAAATATAGCCTCCTCGCCCTCTGACCTGGCCAGTCCCGGGGTGTCCGAGCCGCAGCCCCTGCAGGAGGGAGGGGAGCTGCCGGAGGGCTACCCCATCTGGAGCCTCCCGTTGTCTCCACGTCCTTTTCATCCTTCCTGGGGCCCAGAGGCCCCGCGCGCACCGGCCTGGGAAAGGTTAAATCGGTTGGGCAGTCCCCCTGCTCCCCACCCCGCAAGCCCCAGCAGAATCTAAACTGGGAAACTTGGTGGCGGGAACAAAGCGGGTGTTTGTTGGGTTTCCCTCCTGCCTGGGAGGCTGTTCTCGGACCACGGCATTCCTGGGTTGGCCCGAGTCAGCTCACAGCGGCTTCTCCCTGTGCTGCTGCAGCAGACACCAGAGTCCTTCCTCAGGCCGGGCCTCCGGACACCTCAGGGCTGCGGCTCCGCTGACATTGAAAGCAATTCGAGTGAAGGAAAGCCAGTTCTTGGGGTGCCCGGCTAAGTCGGTGGAACGTGGGACTCTCGACCTCAGGGTCCCGAGTTCAAGCCCCGTGTTGGGTGGAGATTACTTAAATAATTAAACAGAAAAGGCAAGCTAGTTCTTAAACAGAGAAAGGACTAGAACCAGGCATTAAACAAGCTCTTCCAAGACCGGTCAGTGAGTAAATGAGACCAGCATGCCTTCCGGGGCCCGAGAACAGCCGCTGGCGCGCAGACCGCCCTTCAGCTCGCCCCTCACCCCGTCCTCCGGCCGCGGAGAGGAGCTCACAGGCAAGGAAGGTTACGGGCGGCACGTGGGGCCTGGTGAGAGCAGAGACGGAAGCAAGGGACGAAAGCAAAGGTGTTCAAAGGGGACAGACACCCCTGTGGGAACAGGACCACAGCCCCTCCAGCAAGGAGCAGAGCCCGGCTCACCTACCCGGGAGCGGGGACTTCCAGGGCCCAAGCTCACCCCGGGGACGGAAGAGCAGACATGGCAGTGTGGCATCAGTTTTTATTAGAAAACCCCATTTGGTCAGAGCTTCCCTGACCCAGAGCAGAGACCGGGCATGCCTTCGAGAGTCCCTCGGCCTTCACGTCGTCTTCCAGCCTCTTCTGGGTGGGCAGCACCACGCAGTCTCCTGAGCGTCCCTCCTGGACCCCTCGGAGTTCTCCCCGCCCGCCTGCCCGGCTCGACGGTGGGCACCCGAGGGCCTTTGAGGCCAGAGGCAAAGGAGGCGTCCCTGTCGGTACGGCTTCAGGATGGAGGGGAGGCCCCGCCCTTCACTCTGCTTGAGAGCAGACAGGATCCAGGAGAGGGTGGCAGGGGCGAGGGGAGAAGAGACTGCATTCGAGATCCGCTTCGGAATCCGGAAAGCACCTGGGTCTCCTGGGGAGGGAGGGTCGTGGCCGCCCCACTCAGTTCTTCTTGGTCTTGGGAGTGTCGTATTTCCTCTTGCTGGAGTACCACAGCAGCAGGGGGATGCCGATGGACGGAAGCGTCATGACTCCAAAGGCTGCCCAGTCCAGCTGTGGAGGACAACACGGGCCTTGCTTACAAGTCTGGATCAGGGCACAGGAGGGCCGGGGAGGGGAGGGGAGGGGTGGCGAATGACGAGACGGGGAGAGGCAGCAGTCCCGCCCAAACTTTCAACAGAACCTTAGCGGAAAGGCTCGTCTGACCACAGGACCACCTGTCTTCCGAGCTGTGGAGCCCAAGGCCTCACCTGACCTGACCCAGACCGAAGAGAAGCTTCTCTCTTCCAGACAGTCTCAAGAGGTGATGCCCAGCCCTGCACGGACAGTCAAGCCCACACCTCCAGCCCCCTCTTCCACTCCTCTCCCTTGCCTTCTGCCCTCCAGCCTTGCACACCCGCTTGTCAGGCCTTCTTCTTTCCTCTGAGCTACTCCCCCTACACAAGATGCCTGCCCTTCTCTCCCTCCTCTGGCTGGTCGAACACCACCTCCCCCTGAAAGCCCTCCCCGACTCTGGAAGACTAGGTCAGATGCTCCGACACCCTGTCTGCGGTCTCGGTCTCAGCCCGTTTCTCCCGGGACTTGTTCTGAGTCCCCCACGGCCCTCTACCCCCTGGGAAGCGAGCGCGTGTCTCCATCACCTCCGTCTTCTGAAGGCAAAGCACAGAACTGAGCGCAGAATTAGGAACTTCACGACTATTCACTGAATAAATACACACGTGAATTTCCTCAGTTGGCCTGTCTTCAAAGAACGCTCTCTGAGACCAGACCACAACAGTGCTTCTTGACCTGCCCAGTGCGCTGCAACTCTCTGGATCTAAGATACTCTTTTAAGCCTCAAAAGAGACCCAGGACTCCAAGAGGGGACTCCACTCGAGGCTGAGTAGAGAAAAAGGGCAGGCATGCGGCTCGGGCAATTGCGATCTCACTGCCGGCACCACGGGGACATAGGACGTTTGCTGGCTGGCTGCGTCAGACACCAAAAAACACAGGTATGATGAGAACCCACAAACTACACAAATCTTCTAAGGAGACCAACAGCTCCCAGAACCAGGGGGCGTCCCTGTCCCTGGGGAATGGTACGGGGACTCGGCAGAGCTTACAAAATGGGGGGAGAATCTTCTATCAAACTCCCGCTGAGCCAGGATGCCCCCCTGTCCAGGGGCGCTGGTGAAGCCAACCTGAAAGGAGAAAAGAAGGGCATCAGGGCAGATCCAGTCCTTCTCACGTGAGGGGGGAGCAGTCCCGCCCACCCCAATCCTCAGCGGAGAGACTCTCGGGGCGCGGAGGCTCAAGACAGCTTCAAGAAGACGCGGAAAAGCTTCCGGACTGGACAGAGTTGGAGGATTCTTAGTGTGTCGCAAAGAGGAGTAAATCAGGAGCCAGGAGACACCCGAGGGGCCTTTTCTAAACAGGGGCCAGCTGTGCAGCCGCGATCGGAGCCAGTCCTCCCTCCTCAGGCGTCTCCAACTCGGAAAGAGAGGCCCACCAGCCCCCTGCAGGGCGAGGCGGGTGATGGAACGGCTTGCCCTTGGCAACCGCTCCCCCGTTCCTCAAGTGGAAATACGCTTCCATACTCACAAGTGATACGAGGCTCAAACGAAATAACGAGAAGGACTCTGAAAAGCATGAGGCCCCACCCAAGGGCACGCTGGAAGGGGGGCTGGGGCTGCCCGCATTCCTGCCTGGAAAGCAGGCCGAGCCCTGCAAACAAGCTCGCTCTACAGGGGCAGCCGAGCCTTTGATCT